AATTAATTAATTAAAAATTTTTAAAAAAAGCAACAAAAATGTCCAAACGAAAAAAAAAAAAACATAGGGGTTGGTGCCAAATGGTGCCGTACACAGCACCATTGGCCACCCACACCCTGCCTAACCACCCACACCCTATCCAGCTGCCCACGCCCCTGCCTAGCCATCATGCCACTACCCTAGCCATCATACTAGCCCCTTGTCCAGTCTCTTTGCTGGGGCACTGTGGCTTCATCAGCACACCTTTACCACTGTCGTTCCTAGCCCTATAAAGCATTCATTTTCTTCCCCTTTTGGTCAAGACGAAAAAAAAAAACTCTCTCAGACACAGAAGCCCAAACTCGAACACTCGTAAGCCCAAAAGTTTTCCCACACTCCCACCAGACTCACTCACCAAAAAGACAACAAACGATCCCCACAAACACTCAAACATCCAAACAAAAAATTAAAAAAAAAATAGTCCTCCTCGTAAGGAGGAACCTCAGCGCCAAGCCACCTACACCAAAGAAAAAAGGATCATCAGTTAGTTTTCGAAAAGAAAAACAAAAAAAAAGAACACAAAAACGTCAAACCTTGATCTACATCAATCAAGGTTTTTTTTGCGGAGAGGATGATGGATCTGAGCTCAGGAGGTCAAGAAGAGCATTTCGATGAATTTTGGAAAATTTTTTATCACTGACGACCACCGACGGTGACTCTAGGCGACGTTCGGTGCGACGGCACGACGTCGATTTTCTGGCAAAGCCTTAGAGAGAAGGGAGAGTTGAAAATTTTTTTTTGAGAAAATGAACGAAATGAACTGAAAAAAAAAACTAACTTTCATAGAAAAACCAAAGAAGCAAAACGATGACATTTTGAGCATAGGAGGATCCGTGCGTGCCAATTGACCTGACTCGAGATCCGTGCAAACCGACTAGTTGACCCGTCTCATCTAGCATCCAGTCGGTCCAGACGAACCGTCAGTAAATCGGTTAAAATCGGTTTGAATCGCTTCAACCTAACTATGCGCCAAATCGAACCTTTTTTGGTTTAATCGAACCGTTGTTAACGGATTGTTGACCGGTCCAATTCAGGTAAAAATTTTTTTTTTGATTTTTTAAATTTTATATATATTTTTTTTTATTATTTTGAGTATTTTTTTTTATATTTATGCATGATAATCTTTTAAATTTATTAGAATAATTATTTGCTTATTTTTTATTGATAATAAAATGAAATAAAATAGGATAATAACTAAAAAAAAACTAAAAATGCTAAATAATAATAATAATAATAATCTAAAAAAATAATAATAATAATTGAATAATTAATTAATTAATTAATTATTTTATTTTTCATGTCTAGATGTTGAAGAGAATAAAAATATACTTTTAAAAATAATTTCGCCTAGATGTTGGGGAATTATATAATAATAATAATAATAATAATAATAATAAAAAAATTAATGTTATTGTTAAAATTAAGTTTTCATAAAAAGGGAAATATATGAAAATTTTTTAATAAATTTTCAAAAATCATAAAAATCAAACTTGCTCCGAAAATCTGCCTAGATGTTGGGAATTTTTAGAGATATTCGTGTTTTCTCAAAACTAAAATTAAAACCCTAAACCTAACTTTAAAATAAATCCCCCAAACTTTAAAATCAAATCCCTAAAATTGAAACCCTAGATTTGAAACCCAAAAGTCCAAAATCCCAAACCTTAAATTCCAGCCTTTAAACACTAAACCCTAATCCTTCCAAGTCCTAAAATTGAAACTCTAAACATCTAAACCCTAAAATTGAAACCATAAAATCCAAAATGACAAATCCTAAAATCCAAAAACCTTAAAATTCAAATCCAAAAATCCCAAATTTGGTACACGACTCCGAACCATCACTGAAAAGACCGTTCGAACTCCAAAACTCCAAAACCCCTAAAACCCTAAATCTATTCTGAAAATCCTAAGGACACATGTGAAAATCTTATTTGAAGTAATTTGTTTTCGAATGTCATCTAGATGATGGAGTATTTAGAAAACTTTATTTCATTAAGTTTTTTCACACGTATTCTTAATTCGCATTAATAATGAAATTAATAAATAAAAAGTATAATGGTATAATGTGATCTTAAATATAAATAGTCGCACTAAAGCTCCGTTTAGATGATAGAGAGTCAATGTGGTCTTATTATATTTAAGAATCAAATTTTAAATTTACACTTCATTATCATACACAGCATTTATTGGCTTACATACATTTATTTGTTACTGTTTACACTTGTTTGCATTTATTTTTCTTTAATTGTTACTTGTTATCTAATAATACAATCATTTACTTTTTCGCACAAAAATGTTTTTTAATTTACTTACTTTTAAAATTATGATATTATAAAATAAAATAAAAATAACATTCTAAATGAAATAATTTTTGGCACTATGCCTAAATGTTAGAAAGTCACCAATAATTATTTTTCACAAAGAGAGTTATTTTTATTTTAAGGAGTATTTTGTTTAATCTTAAGCGAAAAGAGTTATTTTAAATTTTGCCTAGATGTTGAAGAATTTTAAGATAATTCTTTAACTTAAAGATTTTTTCAACATTCTTAAAAAAGAATTTTAACCTAAATTTATTTTTTTTTAAATAAGAGGAATTAGTGTTAAATTTTAAATTGAAATCATTTTTATCTAACACCGAAAATATCACGTAGTTAAATAATATCAATTTATGAGCGTTGTGATGGTGCTAATTTTTTTCACATGTAACTGACTCCCGAACCTAACCTGATTTTTGTAGATCGAAATTTATATTTTTGATAAATTTTAAATTCGTTTTTATAATTTTATTAAAAAAATAAATTTTTAGGTGATCAATCATATTCTAACAAAATTTTGTGACGATTTCTCTCATTTTTTTATTTTAAAATTTTTACATCTGATGATCTCAAAATTATTACGACAAAAGTGATAAGCTTGAAAAATTGATTGGCAGATTGCTTCAGTGTCCACTCCATTCATTGAATTTATTTCTCAATTAAAGTATCCTCAAATTTTATCTTATTTTTAAACGATTTTAATCAAAGGTATACATTTTAAAATCACTTGATATTATTTAAAATTTATTCATAAAATGCTCTTCACACCAATCAAATCTTGACTGACAAAAAAACAAAAAAACTATTTCACTTAACAATTGAACTCTCTCTTGTAGATATTTCGTTTATTGACATTTGATTTTAAATTTTATACAGTAGATATTAAAATTAAATTTAATAATTTAAAATATGATATAGTGATATAATATAAATATGATATAAAATAAAATATAAAAATAATATGTTTTAAAATTTGAATAATAATTATATATAAATTTAATAAAATAAAATATATTTTTTATATTTATATAAATTATTATACATAATTTTTATATAAAATATAATTTAAATATTTTATACTATATAAATATATAAATTATTATATTTATTAAAAGCAATCCAACTGCATTTGCAATTTTACGAAAAGAGGCCTGTACCTATTTCAAATTAATACTATGAAAATTGGTAGTAAAGAAATTGTCATCGAATTCATACACTATACGAACTATTCAAGCACAATTATTTTCATTTCAAGTTGTTACACCTACCACACAATTGGGTTTTGAATGTCTTTTTCTCTTTTTATTTTCCCATTATGTTTCATATGATCATATCAATGATGGAAAATAAACCATTCCATGGTGGTTAAAGGTTAGAAAACTTTTTTTTTATTACATAAGAATAAATATATAAAAAAAAACAAATCGAAGTCAACCTAAAATTACGAAAAATTAAAAAATAAGAAAATTTAACTACTACATTTTTTTTTGGTCACAAATATGCTTGGTTTAATAAAAAAAAATGAAGCACTGTCTGGAAAGCAGCAAAATGGCACGCCTAGAATTATTTAAGTCCAATCGCCGAACATCGACGACAGCTAAGCTGTACCAATTCGAATAATAAAAAATTTTTATTACAAGTTTTATAAATAAAAAAAAATAAAATAATTTATCTCCTATAATAATTGATTCGATTTAATTTTTAATTAATTAAAATTCAAAATAACTACCTACCATCTAAAATTTCAAACAAAAAAAAAAAATACTCTGCGTATTGAAAGGTCGGTTTGACAGTTTGCGGCAGCTACATGACCCGTAGAGGGTCCTTCAGCCACGCTATATTAAAATATATACTATTTTCCAATTTCACGTTAAAAAACCTCCTTCGATGGAAGACATTTGTTTACCCAAATAAAAGTCTAAAACGCACATCAAACTAGAAACAACTGAACAAGAAAAATTATGCTTTTGCCGACTACATTTGAGTGTGACAACATGAAAATTTTAATCCAATCTTCGACTATATAATAATAAAATAAAATAACACATATATTCAACTAAATATATCTACTTGTTTAGATAAGAGAAAAAAAAAGTCCCATTGTTTAATTTGACGAGAATTCAACAAGAAATTAATCAACTCGAATTAAAAATTTTATTTTGACAATTATATTTATTATTACGTACGAGTTAAATTTTTTTATTAAAAATCATAATTTAAAAATAAAGTAATAATTATAAATGTTAGATAGAAATCATAATCTTTGATAATGAAGATTCGTTATTTAATGGGAGTTAAATTTTTATTTTATAAGTTAACATTTTGATTAGTATGTTTAGAATCTCCAAATTTTGAATGATGCCTATCACAATTATATCAAAAAATTTTAAAATTAATATTTAATTCAATTATTTATATAATTATTTTAACAAATTTAAATTTAAATTTCAACGTATATAATTTTTTATCTTATATTTTTTTTGTAAAAAAGTAATAATTGATTATTTAAATGTAATAAAATTGTAAATGAAATTTTTATCAAAATTATTTTTGTAATGAATGAAAAAAACTGACAAATAAAAAAAAAAAAAGGAAGGGAAAAGGACAAAGGGAATAGTTTGATTCAAAACTTGAAAGAGAGAGAAAGGTGAAAGTGGGGCAAAGCCTGCTGGGTTTGAACGGTCAAAAAGAAAGACTTATGCACTGTTTAAGAGCCAGAGAGAAAAAGAAAAATAAAAATCACATAAATGTTTGACTATCTGTCATCAACACCTCCCACCACCAAAAAGAACCCAGCAAAGCTCAAAGCTACGCATTCTCTTTTTCCTCAAATAAAAGAAATCTTCCAAAACCACGCTCTTCTCCGCCACTTCATCGTGAAAGATCCATTTTAAGATCCGAATTCCATGCCCGTATTATTTCTCTCATGATTCCGCCTCGCCCACCTGTTTTTTTCCCGATTTCTTGACCCAATCGGTAATTAATTTCCTCCACACTTTTTTTTTTTTGAATCTAATAGTTGCCGTGTTTGGCTGTTGGATCAAGTTTTTTTCGTTGTATTTGTTTAATTTTGGCTTCATCTTAGATCCTTCTTTCTTTTTAGGTTTCCCAATATTATTTCCTTACTTTTTTTTTTTTGAACTTTTATTATTTTAGTATAGGGTTTTGCTCTGTTTGTTTCCCGAGGAAGTGAGGGAAAGGAAACTCTTCTTATTCGGTTAATTTTCTCGCGTAAAGTAAACTATGACTAACTTAACTCGCAAAACTTGATGCACTAAGGAAGAAAAGGATCTCTCTTTATCTAATTTTACGCAAAATTTATAGTTAAAATTAGCTTTTTTTTATACTTGTTTATTCTTTTCTTCTAAGGATTAGAGATTTTAGAGCTTATTTTTGGTTATGTTATTTGAATGTTTGATACATTGCCGATTTCTGTGAGGATGAACCACTGGCATTTTTTTATGTGTTTTACAGGTAATTTATTGAGTTGTTTTGCTGAATTTTCCACAAAGGATCTGTGAGATTCTCGTTTTTGCTTTCAGTTTAGTCCAATGGCTTCTGTTAGTTTCGTGCCCACTTCTGGATTAAGAGAACCTGGTAGAAATACAATCAGTGTTGATAGATTGCCTGATGAAATGAATGATATGAAAATTAGGGATGATAAGGTATGTTATTTTACTTTTGTAGTTAGTTTACTTTGCTTCAATAATTGGTTGTTGATATTTCGGATCTGTTTTACAAAAGCTATTGCTATGTTGCAGGAAGTGGAAGCAACTGTCGTTGATGGTAATGGAACCGAGACAGGGCATATAATCGTCACCACTATTGGTGGTAAAAATGGCCTGCCTAAGCAGGTTACTTTTATAATTTTCTCCTTGTGAGCTAGAGTTTATTAGGTCTTGCTTTTGGGTGTTTGATGGTTTTCTAAATTAACTTTCCTATCATTTTCAGACAATAAGCTATATGGCTGAACGTGTTGTTGGGCAAGGATCATTTGGTGTCGTCTTTCAGGTACAGATTGATTTCATCCTAATCATACTTTTATATGAAGATATGTAAAGATTTCGTATTTTATGTTGAATTTTAGGTTTTGTACTGAATTGTCTATGTTGTATTTCAGGCTAAATGTTTAGAGACAGGCGAAACTGTTGCTATTAAGAAGGTTCTTCAAGATAAGAGATACAAGAACCGTGAATTGCAAACCATGCGTCTTCTGGACCACCCTAATGTTGTCTCTTTGAAGCATTGTTTCTTTTCAACAACTGAAAAAGATGAGCTCTACCTTAACCTGGTGCTTGAGTATGTTCCAGAAACTGTCCACCGTGTTATCAAACATTATAATAAGATGAACCAAAGGATGCCACTGATATATGTTAAACTCTATTTTTACCAGGTATAAGCTTGGTTAAAATATTCACTTTTACTATCTTATTTCTATCTATTATATCTTTATGGAAACAAGAAATCCATGTTAGTATGCAACCCTTACATATAATTGGTATTATTCTTGTTGTTATGCAGATTTGCAGAGCGCTTGCTTACATTCATAACAGTACTGGCGTGTGCCACAGGGACATAAAGCCTCAAAATTTATTAGTATGTTGTCAAGCAACTTGCTAAATGCTTTCTATTTGTAGTTACTACAGCTATTTCAGTTTTTAAATCTCTAATGACTACCAGAGGAACATTGTCCATAAATAGTTTGATGGTTCACCTTAATGATAGTTTAAAAGCATCATTTGGAGTTTGGCAAGGGAAAAAACATAGCATTCTGAGGAATCTATGCATGCTACTATATTATAATGTGAAATCTGAAACTTAAGCTGTAGAGCTTTGCAATCTCAAAATTTTGAACAGAATGGGTCTCTACGGTTATTGAAGCTCCTTTATCACCTTTAAATTCACTTGAAGATATTGCCACCATGATGTACCTTGTTGTTAAGATACAAAATGCCTCGATATTCATTTTGAGGAATAACTTAGTTTACCCATCTTATCTGTTTATTTACTATAGAAGGTTGGATTCATCTATCATTATCTATTAACTCATACTAAAAAGCATAATCTTATCAGTACAATGATTTCTTGTGACAGGTCAACCCACACACCCACCAGCTAAAACTGTGTGATTTTGGAAGTGCAAAAGTTTTGGTATGTACAATAGAATCTTAAACGTTTTTGTGTACAATAGAATCTTAAACGTTTTTATTTGCTTCTTCAGAGGCTATGTAATTGTTCATAAGCCTAAATTTGATTTGACTTTGCCAGGTAAAAGGGGAACCAAACATATCTTACATATGTTCTAGGTACTATCGAGCACCTGAATTAATTTTTGGTGCAACTGAATATACCACAGCCATTGACATCTGGTCTGCTGGCTGTGTTTTGGCTGAGCTATTGCTTGGGCAGGTAGATGGTTTCCTTGCATATATTTTTGGTTATGTATGGACATTTTTCCTTTTATATTACTTACCAAATATTTTTTTGACTCCAGCCTCTGTTTCCTGGTGAGAGTGGAGTAGACCAGCTTGTTGAAATTATTAAGGTATATTTTAATTCAAAATTCTCTTCAATAATATTTTCAACATCATCATTATTGGAAAATACTTCAACATCGTCATTATTGGAAAATAGTTAATTAAAAATGAAGGATGGGAGATATTTAACCTATCTAAGTTCTTTCCTTATTGGTGGCTCTTAAATAATCTGGCATCAGTGGTGCTGGATTTCTGATTTATTCTACTTGTGTTCCTTTATACTTTCATTACTTTTTCTTCTTCCCTTTTCTGATTTATGTGATTTTAATGCAGGTTCTAGGTACCCCAACAAGAGAAGAAATAAAGTGCATGAATCCTAACTACACAGAGTTCAAATTTCCCCAAATTAAAGCTCACCCATGGCACAAGGTAGTGGGGATCACATGTCATTTCTTTACATTGTGAGAAGAATTTATGTCTTTAACATATGGTGTTGACCAATGTATTATTGGTATGCAGATATTTCATAAGCGTATGCCTCCTGAAGCAGTGGATCTTGTTTCACGACTTTTGCAGTACTCTCCAAACCTTCGTAGCACAGCTGTAAGTATCAAACTTTTTACAACTCTGGATTTTTCTTTTTGTCTCTTTTTTTTTTTTTTTTTTTCTGTTGTCTTCTGTCTGTTCTCATTCTGGTAGGAAAAAAAGAAACTTTCATGGATTCTGCAAATAATATTTTCTTTGATTTAACTTTTCTGTTCAAGTTTACTAAATCTATATATTTTATATGGTATCTTATGACGAGGTTTTTATTCTGTACAGATCGAGGCTTTGATCCATCCATTCTTTGATGAGCTACGTGATCCTAATGCCCGCCTACCTAATGGACGTTATCTTCCCCCACTATTTAACTTTAAGCCTCATGGTAAAAAGCAAACCTATAGTGCACTGATGTTTCTACTATTTTGGTAATTTCTTATTGAACTGTGGTAACTGATTGTTGTTGCTGTCCTGCCATTTCCATTTTCAGAACTGAAGGGAGTGCCTGTAGATATGCTAGGGAAGCTGATCCCAGAACATGCGAAAAAGCAATGTGCATTCCTTGGATTGTGATGGGGTTCTTTCTTCCTGATGTCTGGTGATTGCAGAAGTCGTGGTCTATTGTAGAGAAGTAGCTAGTGGCCTGTTTCAGTTATATGATGAAGAAGCCGTGTTTATCTCTTTGTCAACCTCAATGTTTATTTGTTCCCTTTATTAAATTTTTTTTACCAACATTTATGTTTTCTTTTTTCCCACTTTTGTAGAAAGCAGAAAGGAGTGTCTGCTATTATTAATATTGTTCATAAGACCTTAAATGAGTATGTTGACCACTTATTTCCATCTGATGACAGATTGTAACGACAAAATATTGGATTCAAAGTTGTTTCCTTTTAGTATAATTTTAATTATAAGTTTGAGGGCTATGGAATTAAATCTATGTTAGCAGGCCAGGATAACAGAAAAGGTGTTTTCGATTCCGGTTTTTGTCTTCTTAACAGCTGTTGTTAAATGATGCTTTCAGCAATAGCCAGCTCTGTAACTAAGTGGGGCGCAAGAAAAGGTCGAGAGGCAAAGTGTTTAAGCATCAGTTTGGAGTTGAATTCTCAGAACATGTAGAGTAAATGTATTTTGCCATGTTTTGATTCGGCCTAACTTGTATCTATGACGTAACATGTCTCGCTTATTTTTCTTCTTAAAGGTACATTGAAAATTTTTGCTAGATTCTTTAAATCCTTAACAAAGCATTTAATCGTCTTCGCATGGTACATTATTCGGTGCATTTTGTTCAAATCCTGGATCATAAATGCCAAAGCATATTCTTGCAAGTTGACGTGGAATGGTCATCAAGCGCTCGTCCTAAACTGCACCTGGTCATCATCAGCACTTATTTCAATTGTAACAACTTTATCTAGTTTATAAGCAATATAAGAATTGGTCCTTTTTTACACCTTTTCTTTACATTTCTGATTAGCCGACTATCACCCTGAAACAAGAAATTAAAAACCAAATTGTTTTTTCGTAATTATACGTAGACAGTAGCTATCAATAAAAATACCAGCGCATATGCACGGAGAAAGGTACTTTGGGAGTGAGTGGGTTGTTGTGGAGGTAGCTTTCATCTCTTATCTCAAACTAGTGGCCCACCGCTCCCAAACAACATTTTACGCTTCCCACTACTAACCGTCTTTGCCGAAAACTGAAAAAAATAATAACACTGCTTTTCTTTACTAAGCAAATTATGTTCCTGTCAAGCAGCGTTCACTGCATGCCTTGTGGTAACGCCATAGCCGACCAGGGTCTAAATCACTTGTCACTAGGCACAAAAATTTTGTGGGGGGTTCGCTATCAAGCCAAGCAAAGCAAAGGGCACCATCTGATCCTGGAAAGTAGTTTGTGCAATTTTTTGTGGTTGGAGCTTGTGGCTTTCTACCCTTCAAGCCAAGTTCAGGTTTTCCTAATAATCCATGTTTATTGCTGACAATGAATGTGTTTTTGGGAGCATCGTTTTCATTGGTTATCACTGAAAGAAGCAACCGAAAAAACTGCCTCTGATGGTCGGTGCAAAAGGCATCTCCAATACATTGAGAACATCTTTAAGTGGAATGTCCACAATAATTGAAAATTCTTTTGCCCGGGAGAGAGCTCATCCCATCCCATCCCATCCCGTAAGGTGAAAAGATTAGATTCCTCTTTAGGTGTCTCACATTATGTTGCATTTAAGCTCCTTCAGTTTTCCATAACTGAACCGGTAGGTTCTCAAAAGCATGCTCCACTCAGGACACAAGGGATTATACTGTTAACTTGGGCCTTGTAACCATGTTGCATAATTTAATCTGAGAGTCAAGTAACTTTGATTGGGGACCGATGAAAGTGAAAGTTATGGGAAGAACATTGGGGGGCTTATGGACAATCCACGCATCTGATATCTTGTTATTCCGTTTACCTTTTTCCAGAACGGTCATATGCAGACTCCACCTTCTCAAAAAAGCCAATGCCTATATGGTATTGGTCGGTTCCCGCCTCCAAAACTCCATTATAATAATCTAAACGTGCATATGTGTTTTATACTCCTTTCCACTATCTGTTTTTGTTATATATATATATATATATATATATATATATATATATATATTCATTCAGCCTTTCTGATTCGGCATGCATTCCAAACCCAAACTCAGTTAAATCTTCAGCAAGTTGCTCTAGTGCTTACAGTGGTCACTCAAACAAAGGAAGCTACTTGCTTCCTTCAATCCTTCCCAAAACTTGGGGTGCATTCATTTTCATGTTCGGCATAACTTCTCTCATCCTTTTCATCTAGTTCTTGACATTGACTAAACAATTTGAGCTGGTTTGGTTTTTTCGAAATTCCAGCAAAAGTGCGAAACCATACCTGAGAGAGTTAGAGTCTTCTCTGTTTACCAACAGAATTCTGATTTGTCCTCATTCGTGGAGCTAATTTTAGCTTCAAAATGGAGTATTCTCGTGTGTCCCTATTTATATATTGCATGTCTTTCGTTTGTTTCTTCCTTTGCACCCAAGCTAGATGGCATCATGACCATACAAAACACAAGCATCATAGTCACCATCATAAAATATCTGAAATTTCAGCACCCCCTATTACTGCACCTGAGCCTTCCGGTCCTTTTACACCTGAGCCTTCCAGTCCTCTTGCACCCGAGCCTTCAAGTTGTCTTGCACCTGAGCCTTCCAGTCCTCTTGCACCTGAGCCTTCAAGTTCACTTGCATCTGAGCCTTCCAGGTCCCCTAGTGATGAAAATGCCAATAATTCTACTGGTGTTTTCGACGTAAAGAAATTTGGAGCAGTAGGGGATGGCGTGACAGATGACACAGAAGCATTCAAGATGGCATGGGACTCTGCTTGTCAAGTTAATTCAGCAGTCCTCCATGTTCCCTATGGTTTTTCCTTCATGATTCAGTCCACAATTTTTACAGGTCCTTGTCAAGGTGGATTAGTCTTTCAGGTATTGTACATTATGTACTTGTTTTGTCTGATTGTCAGCGCTTACGTCTTTTTAAGTATAAAAAGGACTAATGGGATTGGTGATGTGGTACATTTTGGTCGCTGTGAAGGTTGATGGTACTCTTATGCCTCCAGATGGACCCGACGCGTGGCCAAAGAATAACAGCAAGCACCAGTGGTTGGTCTTCTATAGAATTAATGGAATGTCCCTGCAAGGAGGTGGTCTCATTAATGGTAGAGGACAGAAATGGTGGGATCTTCCTTGCAAGCCCCACAAGGTATAGCTGACTAATTCACCCCTAAAATCATTTTTATCTTATGCACTTGAGTTTATAGTTAATCTTTTGCATCCAACGGCGCAGGGAACAAATAGAACAACATTGTCTGGACCATGTGATAGCCCAATTGTAAGTTGTCAGACTTTACATTTAAATATTTTGTGTTTCTGACCCCCCCCCCCCCCCCCCAAGATAACACAAAGAATTGATATCATTTTAAAATTCATGATGCAGGCTGTAAGGTTTTTCATGAGCTCCAACTTGACTGTGCAAGGACTTAAAGTTAAGGATAGTCCCCAATTCCACTTTAGATTCGATGGTTGCAAGACTGTCCATGTTGAATCCCTTCACATAACGGCTCATGCCCTGAGTCCCAATACTGATGGGATCCACTTAGAAAACACAAATGGTGTTGAAATATATAATTCAGTTATCTCTAACGGTTAGCCTAAAATCCCATAAATCATCCCAAATTTCGTTTCCCTTCCCATATTAAATTCAGCATCTTGATGATCTTTATTTACAGGTGATGATTGCATATCCATTGGATCAGGATGTTATGATGTGGATATTAGGAACCTAACTTGCGGACCTGGTCATGGAATCAGGTAGTCCTTGTTGTTTCTATTTAACTATTAACCTTACGATTTCATGTTTGTTATTAAGCATGCCAAACTTCTCCATGTTAAATCTGTTCCCTTGATTCTTCCACTCAGTATTGGAAGCCTAGGCAATCACAATTCACGAGCCTGCGTCTCAAATATCACAGTTCGAGACTCAGTGATTAAGGTGTCAGATAATGGTGTTAGGATCAAAACGTGGCAAGGTGGATCTGGAGCTGTATCAGGAATAACATTCAGCAACATTCACATGGAAAGTGTTAGGAATCCAATTATAATTGATCAATTCTACTGCCTCTCAAAGGACTGCACTAATCAAACATCAGCTGTTTATGTCTCAGACATACTCTACGATAGCATCAAGGGAACCTATGATATCCGAAGCCCTCCAATGCATTTTGCTTGTAGTGATTCAGTTCCATGTACAAACATCACGCTCTCTGATATTGAGCTTCTTCCTGCTCAAGGAGATATAGTTTTGGACCCTTTTTGTTGGAATGCTTATGGGGACTTAGAAACACTTACGATTCCACCTGTGTCCTGCTTAATGGAGGGTATTCCTCGATCCATCTTGGATAAGAAGGATATGGATTATTGCTGATGATTTAGAACCTTCTTTTTTTTTTTTTTATGTAAATCAGCTTCAATACATACGTATATATATAATTGAAAGGAAAGCATGGATGTATCGAGATTATATTTCTAATTATGAGATCACTATAGCACTGTCCATATTAATCTCCCCTAGTTTGTATGTTTTCTTACTAAATTTCCAAGTTAGAAAAAAATCTGATATTTGCAAACTGATACACAGATATCTGAACACTGACAAATAAATGAACTTTAAACTCTGGTTTCACCGATTTCATGCATAATTTTTTTTTCAATGAGGGAATCCCCGTGACATCTGTGAAAATTTTTCCTTTGTTTTTTTTTTTTTTTTTTTTGAGGGGGGTTTCAATATTATAAGCAACGTATAAAGTGCAATGAGGCATAGAAGGCACAAAAAAGTGATGGATGTGCAGTGGCAGAATCATATAATTACTACAAGACTATTATTTAAGCTACCTTTTTTGCCTTTTAATATCCGAAATAGAAATACAAGATTCCAACTTTCCGCATATTCATGTGTCTTAAAACCACGACAAAAGCTCTTGTAATCAAACAAATGATCAGCTGCAAAAGTTAGTCGAAGAGAAAGCAAGCAGAAAGAGAACATATAATCAGAGAATAATTAGTGAAAGTTGGTGATTTCAACAAGGACAGAATTAATTTGTCATCAATATATATATATATAAGCCAATATGATTTGTTTTTGGTTTTGGTTAATATCAGAATGCATGCCCATTAAATTTAACAGTAACAAAGTGGAGGGACAAGGCTGTCCATCTCTTCCAGCAGGAGGCGCATGCAGCAGCAGCTACTATAATCATAATAAATCTGGATCATGACATAAAAGATTTGAGTAGAGTAGTGTAGACATAAGTGCTCTCGAAAAGTGGCGGTCGGTGCACGGGCTCCGATTCATTGGCCATCCACAATAACTCACCTTTCTACCCTCTCCCATTTTACAACATTACATATAGAGAATGATCAAATCGGAATGCTTTTGACCTTCACACATACATTTTAAGCACTCTACTTTTTTTTTCTTTGTTGATAACAGTAAATCCCCCCATGAGAAATATTGATGTGCAAAAGAATCATAAATTTGAAGAAGCCACTGCCATCGCCATGCGATAGCTATAGTGACTTTTGATGAGTAAGCCGAGCATCCTCACACAGATCTAATTATACAGGTTAAAATTTCACATAAAATACAGCTAGTTTCGAATTCAAAGGGTGTCAATGGAGGGCCTCCGAAAAAGAAAAAAGGGGGAAGGGAAGAGTAATGCTCCTTTTTAATAACAATGGAAAAGTGAAAAGGGTTTCTGAAACTCTTACTGCCACAAAAAATGGAGAATTATCGGGTGGATATGGGCATGGAAGGAAGGCTGCCTAAAGCTAACCCAAAAAAGATGAAGGAATCTGTCAACTCCACTATAAAGCACTAATTCTGTCTGCTCACTGCAGACAGATACATAATGGATGCTTTAGTCTATGATTTACTATCATAGTAGTGATTAAATTAGTAAAAGATTCATGGATATAAAAAATTAATGTTAATGGGTTATACAATATGTTTGGGCACTTTCGAAAAATATTGTACCACTCTTGAACAGCATCTCAGCCGAATAAGCATTGAAACCAGAGCCTAACCTAAGGCTGTGGATTATCATTGTGAAGGAACCAGCCATTAGAATTTAGATGTAACAAACAACAATGAAGAAAGGGTTTGGTTGGATCACAAAAACCATGGGCCCACTTCCCTCCTCCTCTATTGTACTCGTATATTATGCCAATATGGATACCTTTGGGCTAACAACCAGGATGGGTCTGACTACTTTTATAATTTGGGCCACAGAAAGTTAACCCAGTAAGTAGTTTGTATCGTCGCACATTTTAAATCATAAAATTCACTCTTGATTAAACCAGCCATAGTGATAATTTTTTTTATTACCGGTTTTTACATGAGTGGAGACTATACTCAATCCAGCAAAAAAAACGCAATCCAAATTCCAAATCAGATGGCTTTTCGTGTTTGAAATGGATTATCAAATATTATCTTTAATCTATATGAAAATCTTTTCCCCTTCCAATATTCAAATTAAGTTCCATTCGTATATACTGCTGCAGCAGCCTCCAGCCGCTGTTGACTTAAAAAAATTTTGGATCAATTTGAGCCATTTAAGTCATCACATTGATTAATTCTCTGATTTATATAGTACGACCTTAGTCCATAGTCTTAGACACCATCATTCGTTTAAAAATATCTGGTACCGTAATATTCGATTTAAATAAAATTTTTTTATTCGATTTGAATTAAATTTAAATATTAAATATTACTATTAAGTTCAAATAAAAATAATAATAATATTTTAATCGAATTATATATTTTTATTAATTTTATTTTTTAAAATTTTTATAAAATAAAATAATCACTTTATATTTATATTTATTTGAATATTTAAAATATTTATTAAAATAATATAAAAATAAATAAATTTCAAAAATAGTTAAATCAAAATAATAAAATTCGGTTTAAATTGAATTTGATTTTAAAGAAAAGTTAGTTTGGATTCGGATTAAATTTAAAAATTTATAATACTATGTATTATTTAAAAAAAATAAACCAAATCTAATCTGATTAAATGGTACTAATTATTTTTAAAAAGTAACATTTAACTTATTTAAAATTTAAATTTTAGCACTTATAATGCTTTCTTATATTCTAAATTACGACTTCTTTTATTTTAAAAAATTCCCTAAAATCAATCATTACTAATATTCCACTCTTCTAGTTTTGGACTGCAATTCCTGTAGTGAATTTGAGCTCACACTTCCACCATCGCTAAATGCTATCCGATTTAAGCGAATATTTATCTTTATGAATGTTCACGGAATTAGGTCGTTTATCATCATTTTTCAATTTTACGTACCTATAACTAGACAAACAATAATTTCTAATTAAGCTTAGATATCCAACAATTTGGAATTTCTTCTGTGAGAAAAGTGCAATGCTAATTTTTTTTTTTATTTTACTTTTCAAAACACTTGCTTGTTTGCTTTTCGAAATTCACTTATTTTGTCTAATAAAAATAAATTATCTTAAAAATTTACCACTAATTAAATAAACCATTAAAGACATATAGTAATATTACATACGTATATATAACATTGAAAAATACACCAACAATAAATCGTGTATTATATTGATAGAATATTATCCTTAAAAAGATATAATATTGGAAAAATACAGTTAAAATTTTGACTATATATTATATATTTGTTTAAAAAGAGCAGGTTGGCAAGTTGGCAAGTTGGCATCAAATATCGAATCAATGAACATGAGAAAAACCATTCCGACAACTTTCGTCGGCGTCTAAGCAAGTTGTTTCAATTGTTTTAACCTGCACAAGTTGTTTAACTTTATCATCGTTAATAGTAAGTGTGCTGCAAGGTCTATATTTGTTACTCCTATAGTACCATGTTTTTTTTTTATTGTATTTGTCGGCCTTGCAACTTGAAAATGTTGGCTTGTGTTCGTTAGCAATCCACTACTTAAAAAAGAATAGAAAAGAAAAGTAGCAAACATCCCTACCGAACATTAGGGTCCAAATTGTTGACTTGCCACTTGGGTAATGATGTATTTGTCCTTTGAAGAGCGTGCACTTACCCTAATATTTCTTTGAAAATTATTTTCCACTTTAACTTGCTCACAATTCAAATGTTATTTTTCTTTTATAAAGTAAGGAAAATAATAAATTTGATAATTTATGCATTTTTAATATATTTTACATAAAAATTATATGTTATAATTCATGTTGACGTATTAAAAATATTTAAATTATAATTTTTTATATTAAAATATTTATTTAATAATAAGCAAAAATTATTTGAAAATTTATTACTTATATAAATAGATTTTATATAATATTTTAATAAAATCTACATAATTTTAAATTTAATTAATTATAATATAATTATTACAAACGATATATTTCTATTATCATCGTATTCATATCCTTTTGTTTTCTCACTTGATCATGCATACTCTTAAAGTTGGTTAAAGTCTTGCAAGAATTTTAGCAGTAAGTAAATTATTGAGAATTAATTACGGTTGGTAAGAGTGACAAATGCTGTAATAATATCGATGGTGGCTTCGAATGAGAATCGATTTCTCCGTCAGTTGCTCTGGACAAAGTACTGGCAGTCTGCTATTACGTTTTAAGACTTTTCTGCAACGTTTTACAAACTGCTATTCTTACCAAATGACTTCAGTTCCTATATTTTTCATCCCAGTGATATGAAAATGATTTCAAACTCCTTAATTTGACCAAAATGACTTAAATAATAGTGAGATTTCTTATGTTAATAGGAGTTTGAGTGACAACACGGATTTTGTTTTTTTTTTTTCAATATTAAATGAAGAATTTTGTTGATACTTAGATGAAAAGTAATTCAGGTTTAGTGCCATGTTATAATTATAAATAAAAAAAAATTTGTTTGGTAAAAAAAAATAAAAATAAATAATAAAAGAATAATTATAGATTTCATTTATATTGATATGACTTCTTATCTGTCCACTAACAAAACTTTTCATTTAATATTAAAAAAAAAGAGCAATCCTGATAACGTACGCTATATAGATTTGTTGTACATAATAGTAGGATTTGTTTAAGGTGTTTCTAATAGGAGTTGGCATTACATTGTAATCCTACGATAGTAGTGTTTTGCTTTTTTATTTTTTTTATAAATAAAATTGTAATTTTCTACTTCTTGATGTAGTCATTAAGAAGATTTTACTATATATATATAAAAGGTGAAGTTTGAACCTCACAATATTAAGCATTTAATTTAAAATAAATTAATAATAAAAATTTTAATGCGAATATGAAACCACAAATTACCCAAAACTTAAATGAAAATAGCATTATTTAATATTTTCAAGGATTAAAAATGTATATATTTCCTATTCATTCAACTTTTAAAGAAAAAATTATAAAAATAAAAAATTAAGAAAACCCCTATAAAATTTTCAAATAAATCCTAATGTTTTATTTTATCCAATTGAACTCTTAAAATATTATTTTTGTTTAGTTAGGTTTTCATTTTGTATAAGAATCACTAAAAATTACTTAAAAAAGATTTAAATATTTTAAAGATTTAATTAGATAAAATAATATTTCAAAAACTTAATTTAATAAAAATATTACTTTAAAATTTAATTTAAATACGACAAAAGGATAAAAGTTTATCTAAAATTTTGAAAAAGCAAAATTACAGTTGCTTTTTAGTAACCCAAGCCTTATTACGCTTATGTGCTTTGCTAGGCCCAATCTGGTCTTTTACCATAAACGTGTTTTTCTCGTGAGTTGGATGATGAGATGCTAAAGGGAAAGGTCGTCGGCAGTAGCAAAGGCATGCTCAGAGAAGAGAATCTTCAGTAAGTAGGAGAGGACTACACCAAAACCAAACCGAAAAGGAGTCCCTGTCAAAGTCATCAAATGTGTCATGATGCATGCGTCATATTTTTCATTTCAATGACGATTGTGTAAACGTCATACTTTTCCATTAAATTTGCTTCTTCTGTTTTTGTCACCTAATTTCCCATTATACTTTTTTTAAAAGTATTTTATAAATAATTATTATAATATAATAAATTAATTATAATTTAAAATTATGAGATTTATTTTACAAGTAGTAAATTTTATATAATTTTTTATTGAATTAGATAATTATAATATTATAGTAAAAAAATTTATAGATGTGTTTGAAATCTTGGTGGTAAGGTTCAATGAATTTTAATGCTCTTAAAACAAATGCACACAAACCATTTAAATAAAATGATAATTAAAAATTGATGCGGCGTGCAGCTTCTTTCTTGCAAAGGGACAGTAAGCATTTATTCTCGAAGGTCACATGTGATTAATTGGGAACCACTGGAACTTGTGAAGCCGAAGGACGACGACCCCTAAATCTAAGTCAACCTAAAAAAAAAAGGGCATCAATTTTAAATTTTCTTTATTAACCATGATCTCCTAATATCCTGCTGAATAACTCATCTACCATGGATTGATTGGGTTAGTTTCGGACTTTTTTTATGCAAAAGATGTACGATGATAGTTATTCAGGTTATAGACTTACAATAATTGGATTAAAATCATGTAGAAGTACATACTAATTGAAACATTAACAGCAAATTAATTTTCAGATTTCTTGTATTAAATGTTGGTGTAATTAGAGAAATTTTACAGTGGGTAAGTTTGGTAAAGGACGAAAAACACGATCTAAGAATTAAGATGTAATGAGTCGATGAAGAGGATAGTTTGGTCCAATGCACATTAGTGGGGTACGTTTAGGAAACCCAACCCGCAGGCCGAGGGGACGCACGCAAGCGCAACGAACAAAATTATCAGTACACATTGACCTTGACCTTTCTATAGTTTAGGGTAACTTCAGTCTTGAAGAAGCTACGGAGAAGGAACCCAGAAAGAGCACTCTCCACTCCTGTCTCTCTGTCTCATCTCTTCCTTTGGCCGCCTGCGAAAAATCCAACATGGAGAGTGCTGGCCCTGCAAGCAAGAAGCGAGAGATTTCCCATGATGATGATGATGAGGAAGAAAATATGGAGAAATTCTACGCTCTTGTCAAGAGCATACGAGAGGCTCGTGATCATTTGATCATGAACAACAGCTCAGCAGAGATCGCGAATAATGAGGCTGCAGGTCGTCAGAGCATAACCAAGAAGAGAAAGCTTGAAGAAGAGAAGCAGGTTGTAGTCTGGCAGCCCTCATTTCAACGTGAAGATTTCATGGAAGAGGCTGATCAGCTGAAGAAACCCCCAGCTGTGAGCTTCGCCAGTACTTCTCAAAGTAAAGAGGGCACTGATATTAATGATCCGAAAGAGAAGGTTAAAGAAGGGTTAGACCTTACCCTTTCACTGTAAAGGGGATCATCAGGGTTTTTGGAACAACTGCAAGAATGTAGCTGGGCCAGGTATGTTGATTGTTACTTGGAAGATGGGGGTACATGGATCAAACTGTTCATAAGTAATTAGGTGGATGTTCCACGCTAGAAGGTGAGAAGATCCCGTCAAGCCTTCAAGCTTTTCTTCTGCCATAGCATTTTCCCATCTACCCTTTTGTAGTTTAATTATAATTAGTGAATATTAGTATCTCTTTTGGTGACATTAACCAGTAAAGTTTTCGGATAATCATGAATGTTATATATAAATTATGGTAAAGAAATAAATATTAAACATATCTCTATACATTTTTGGTGTTTGATTTTGATCATAGCAGAAGATTTATTCACCTTACTAATCACTAGGTGCTGGACAAGAACCAAATTCTAAAACGAAAATGAGTTTCTAAAGAAATTTTTTGGCCTTGTGCTTATTGGGATAGTGTGGCTTGAAATAATTCGTGCCTCATTTTGAAGCACATGGTGGGTGCACGGTTCACCATAACTCCACAAATACCATGATCACAAGCGATGGATCACATGAAGTCAGATTTTCTCTCTTCTTGCTGTTCACGTAGTAAAGCATTTGAAGGTTTTGTTTTTTCAATTGGCAAATATATATTCTGTTGGCATCATGGCTTCTCTTTTCACGTTAGAAATATCACTTGCTGATGATAGTGCTAAGTGCGAGAGATTGAGAAAGGAAAAAATAGAGTATGAGCCGAGGGTGAATAGAAGCTAAGAGTGAGTTCGGGGCTTGTAAATCAGAGGTTGGCTTATTTCTCGTTTCTTTGCACTCGAGAGGTTGTCAAAATTTGAAATCCTAATCACTTGACATAAAAATTCAACGTTTTGACATGCGATTATTGTGTTTATTTATTTATTTTCTATCATTGAGATAGTGAAAACATGATTAGATATCGAGTAGAGTGTTTTGTGGTGACTATATGTTGTAATTAATCTCTATTTTTTCCAATGATTTATGTTTTTGAATGTAAAAAAAAATTAGATCATGTAAATTTTTGTATCCTTTTCATTTTCATCGTATTTTTTTAATTTGATTTTCAATTTATTAATACTTCAATTGGATTAATCTAATTTTTAAAAATAATTACTTTTAATTGTCTTTCCCATCTAAAAGATCATTCGGATATCTTAACGTCCACTCCCAACAAGTGATGTGAGTATTTTTTTTATGAGTATTATTATATATTTAACTGGTTGCGTTTGTTTTTTCTAATTCTAGTCGTTGGCCAGAGACGAAGGAATCTCAAGAATTTAATAAGAGTCAAAAAGATAACTTGGTCTGCAAAGTTACTATTAAAAGAAAGTAGAAAAAGGCTAACCTACCCCCACCAAGTTATTTATAGTTAATTGATGAGAATATATATAACAGTAACTTTATTAATGAAATGAATAAAATAATATTACTTTATTAATAATTAAGTTTTTTAAATAAATTAATTTTTATATATTTATTTTAAAAATTAATATTTATTTATTAATAAAATAATATCATCTAATTTACTAATAATATAAAAAATTTATAAACCAACAAAGCATTAAATATAAACTTGCTCAGTAATAAGTTGAATGGTTGATGGAATGTATAGACCAAAGGTATAGAAAGTGATGGCTGGAATCGCAAGGTTTCAAATTGCTTGGTCAAAGGAAGAAAATAAAAGAAATTAAAAACTATATATAGTCTTCTCTTCATATGATCCGTTCTTACGGCTAAATTTGGATCACTCGTGTATCTTTCCTCCAAAAAATAAGAAAACAAATTACATATATAACTTTATTCATAGCACAGTTAGGCCTGGCAATATACATATATATATATATATATATACATATATATATATCATCATCAATTAAATTTAAATATTAATTTTAATGAGATTTTTTTATTATAAAATTTTTAAAAAATATATTTTTTCAATCGTATGTACAATAATTTTTTTCAATCACAACTACAGTAATATTATTATTATTTTTAATATTATCATAATCAATTTCACCACCTATTCAAATATATTCTAAGTCAAATGCAGGCAAAAATAATGGGATACTAGCGAATATAATTTACTAGCCAATATTATATATAAATGTTTGATGCAATTTTAATTAACTATTATAAATAAAAAGTTAATATTTTATTTAAAAAGATATAGTACGATATATTTAGACTCATTTAATTATTGAATTTTAAATAATAGATGCAAGTGTTTTTATTTAAAATCAAGGCGAATTCTCTTTTCAAAATTAAAAAGAAAATTCACATTGTTTTAGCAAAGTTGAACAGCATTCTAGCACTATAGAAGCCCATTCAGGTCTACAAATTATAAAATATGAATTCCTATAGGCCTCCATCAAAAAAAAAAAAAAAAAAACGCTTTCCTAATGGGCTAATCTCCTATTCTTACAGTGAACATGATCATCAAATTTTTACAACCATGTAATTTCTTGGGACACCAAATAATATTGTTATATTTCAAACAAATTAGTATATATACTTAATAATTTGCTATATTATGGTTTTTTAGGTTCTCAAATTAAAAAAAAAAATTCATTTATTTAAATATTTTAATTCATTTGACAGGAATGTATTAATAATCTTACTTTATAAAGTCAATAGTTTTTGTATCAAACTTATTTTTATTGATTAACCTAAAAATGTATTAAAAATTGTCTAATTTCTTTCCGAAAATAAAAGGAATTCATTTTCGTTTCCAAAACTTTGTTTACAAATATGTCTAATTCTTAACCTATATGAGCAGAATACAAATAGAAAACATAATCAACTTTCCAGCCCCCAATTTTTATCTTAGAGACCAATAATTCTTAACGATTCTAGATTAATCATATGTCTAGGATAAACTTTTTAGGTATAAAGTCGCTGTCATAGATCTACCCTTGTAATGTTTCAAAAATCAACAAGCCATGTGAAACCCATTAGCAATCCTACATCTCAGAAAATTTTCCAACCATATACTATTTTCTATCTAAAAAATCCAAATGCATCAACCATCTAATAAGTCATTAACGTCACTATGACGCAGTGATGAATCCTCTTTTAGTGAAAGACTGTTCATGGACATTTATTAAAATTAAAAAATAACAAGATTTAAAAAAAATTATTGGACTTCTCTAAAATTTCTTTTGAACACCTTCAAAGATGAAAAAAAAAAATCTTGGATGCCATCAATTGTTAAATCTATCAATAATTTTTTTATATATATTATAAATGGTCACTGAAAAAAAATCTTGAATCTATAACTATTATAGCATTAAGGGTGAAATTAATTCTTGAAAACGATCATGACGTATATGTATTCAATTATTAATGTATTATTATTCATTCAACTGATCCTTTTATAATGTTGTAGATATTCCATCTTATCTAAAAAGTTTTTGGATTGAAAACGAGTTTTGACTGTAAAATTAGGTTTGATTGAGAAGCTTCGAGCCCAATAAAAAAATTTTAAATTTTTATTTGATTGATTTATTTATTTATTTTAATTACTTGTTTTGAAAAAAAAAAGTCAATAGTAAAAAAAAAAGTAAAAGAAAAATAAAAAAATGAGGGATTTTGGTTTGATTCATGTAAATCCTATAAAAGGAGAAACTCAAAATCAAATAACATATTATAAAATCGCAATAAAATCATAATCAATTTGATTTATTTTTCAAATTAAAGAAATTCAATCCCTATAAAAAAATAAAAATCACACACAAAGGGAGGAGAAAATAATAAAATTCCAAGAATCTTAGTTTTTTGTTTTTTAATTTTAGAGAGCAATCATTGCAGCAAATTCTAAAAAAAATTTTAGATTTTGTGATTTTATTTTGTTCTGAGTTTGATTTGATTTACTTTTGGGTTTCCTGAATTTTAATTTCTAAGTTTGATTTCATTTTCTGTTGAGTTTCAGAGATTTTTACTGGAGTTTTTTGTTGATTTTTTATTATGAGATTTTTATTGGATTTTCAAAATTTTGAAAACTTTTATGGGTTTATGATGAACTTTCCGGTTGAAGTTTGAAGTTTTCGCATGAAGGCGACGACCCGCGTGAATATCCACACTTCAAGCCTGACCCGATTACATGTTTTTTTTATTTTCTTTTTATTTTCTTTTTATTTTTTGATTTTGATTTTTTTTCTTTATTTTTTTACTTCGTTTTTATTCTCTTATTTTTTGTATTTAATTTTTGTATGATATGATTATATATTTTATTTAATTGCATGATTATTGATATATGTGTTTGTATGATTTTGTTTGTGTGATTCATTTTTGCATGATTATTAATTAATTTTCATGATATTTCATCTTAATTACATGATAGTTTATATTAATTGCATGATATTATATTATTATTTGCAAAATATTATTTTGTACGATAAATTTTGTTTTATTTATTTTTTTAATTTAAAAAAATGTTTAAAAAATAAAAATTTTTAATTTTACCAAACTATTGAAAGACTTAAAGAATTTTTTAAATAAAATAAAATAATACATTTTTTAATCATACTAAATTATTGGAGCATCAAAATTTTAAATTAAATCTTACCAAACTATTGAAAGATTTAATGAATTTTCTCAAAGTAAAATTTTATAAATAATTTTCAAATAAAATCTCACCAGACTATTGAGAGATCTGTATTAAAGTAAAATCTTGCTAAACTATTAGAGGATTTTGCTGATTATTTTTTAAATAAAATTAATTTATTGAACCCGATGACGGAATCTCTTCAAAGTGGGACATGAGTCTCCATGAATACTACTGAGGTGAAAAAATTATCTTAAATTATTACCAAACTATTGGAGTAAATTTAGGATTAATTTTCAATAATTAAATTATTTGGTATAATTATAAGAATATTATAAGGCTTGGATAATTAGAAATTAAACTGAAAACATATTTTAGATAGGCGCTATAATGGTACTATAACTTTTTCACGTGTAACCATACTTCTGAACCTAAACTTTAATTTCATGAACTAAAATATATTATTTAAAGATATCTAAATTAATTTTGTAATTTCTCTTTAAATGAGATAAATTTTATCAGGTGATCAATCGTACTTTAACAAAAAGATTGGTGGCAACTTTTTTAGTATCTGTCTAACCATAGATCCACTAATTTATTCATTATGACAGTTTGATGACTCCACTGAAAAAATGAGAGTCAGGCTAATAAATAATTTTCTGTTATCCAAGTCTAACCTAATAAATTTAAGATTTTTTTCTTGTTTGTATTTTATCTATTTATTTATTTATTCATTTTATATATCTATCATTCACATACAAATGTATAACATGAGCTCTACGCTCGGGTTTTATCCCTTAAGAGGGAGTAAAATACTTACGTCTTTGTAAAATTTAATGTCTCTGTATAGGCTAGTGAAAAACTCCTACTTAAATTAAACATTTTTTGTTTGTAGCCTAAAATGAGTAAGGATTGGGTGTCTTACTAATCTATAAAGGATAATGATGTAATGAACAATTTGAAAACTTTTAGATTGTCAAATCTTTAAACTTAGCATGTAAATAAACCCTAGGGTCTAAACCTAAGTTGGAGCCATGCATTCCCTTATGTTTGAAAATCCTAAATAAGATACATGATGTGACATTTATTCTACTTGTAAATTTATTTTTTTTTGAATATATTATTTGCATACTAACATTTTATATTGTTTCTTGTATATGTTATGTTCACTAACCTTTTTTTTTTACTTTATATGTATGCATTTACATCATTAAATCCTTCTTATTGCATTCGTGTATACATGCATTAATTCATGTATTATTTCATTTAACTTTTTCATATATTAAAAGACATGAATGTTTGATTAAAGAGTAATTTATATTTTTTAGTTTTTTACATAGTTGTGAATATGAATTTTTGTTTTTACTTTGTATTGCATACATGTATCCATGTAAACATCGTTGTATGTA